GCCATCCTGGTCTACATAGTGAGTTTCAGGACAGCTGGGGCTACAGGGAAACCCTGTCTCAAAAAGACCAAAGGAAAAAAAAAAAAGGAAATTAACGCCAGGCATGGTGACGCACACCTTTATCCTTTAATCCCAGAGGCAGAGGCAGGTGGAGTTCAAGGCCAGCCTGGTCTACCTAGTACATTCCAACAGAAGCTGGACATGGTAGTGCTGTAATCCCAGCACTTGGGCGATAGAGGCAGAAGGATCAGTTTAAAATGATTCTCAGCTACATAGCAAGTTCAATGCCAGCCTGAGCCACATGAGACTCTCTGAAAAAGACAGAGTCACCAGGCATGGTGGCTCACATCTTCAATCGCAGCATTTGGAGGGCATAATAGGCAGGTGGATCTGTGTGAGTGACTGAGGCCAGCCTGGTCTACAATAGTGAGTTGCAGGTCAGCTGGGACTATAGGGAGACGCTATCTTTTTTTAAAAAAAAAAAAAAAAACATGGGGGGGGAGGGCTGGACAGATGGCTCAGTGGTTAAGAACACAGACTGTTCTTGGAGAAGACCTGGGTTTGAATCCCAGCACCCACATGGCAGCTAACAACTGTCCATAACTCCAGTTCCAGGGGATCCGACAGCCTCTTCTGTCCTCGGTGGGTACTGCACGACATGGGGGAACTTACATGCAGGCATAACACTCATACACATAAAATAAACATAATAGCTGGGCATGGTGGCACACGCCTTTAATCCCAGCACTGGGAGGCAGAGGCAGGAGGATCTTTTTGAGTTCAAGGCTAGCCTGGTCTACATAGTGAGTTCCAGGAAAGCTGGGGCTACAGGGAGACCCTGTCTCAAAAAGACCAAAAAATAAATAAAATATTTTTTAAAAAAGTAATAACAATAAACAAAGAATCCAACTGCTAATAATAAAATAGAACAATTATCACAATATGCTTTATACAATTTATGTGAATCTGATCTCTCTCAAAGTTTCGATGTTTGTTTTTTCCATTTAAAGGAAGTATTTTACAGTTTCTCTTTGACACATCCAAATTGCCAGTGTCACTATCCCTGTATTTGGAAGTCAAGCAAAATTAAGCTTACTTGAATACAGCACTGCAATTCCACAACATATAACTGGTAAAGAAGACAGCTTCTAGGTGACTAATGGGGGGTAGTATACACAGCCTAGATTAAAAAAGTAACATTCACGTCCCAGGTTGGAGGGAGCTGGGAAATAGTGCATAATTTGAAACTTATAACTTCTAGATTGTTTGTTTCTAGAATTTCTCAATACTTTCAGACCACTGTTGCCCACAGAAAACTAAATCTATTAAAAGCAAAATACATTGTCTAATTATATTTTCAAAATAATTTGTTCAGCCAGGTGTGGTGGTACACTTGGGAGACTGAGCCAGGTGGATCTCTGCTGAGTTCAAGGTCAGCCTGGTCTACATAGTGAGTTCAGGCCAGCTGGGGCTGCAAGAAGACTGTCTCAAAAAGACAAATAATCATAATAATTATTTTGTTCAAATTTCTTTGGAAAGCATAGCATGACAGTGTCTTAGATAGTCTTCAGAGCTCTTAAATAAACCAAGTGGAATAAATAGAACAACATTCACTATATAGAGTACCTTTCTCTCAAAATACAATCAAACAAAAAAAACAAAACAAAACCCCCAAATGGTATGCATTTTAATAGAATGTTTCAAGTAATTCTTATTTTCATGTATTTAGCATTCAAATTAAATTCTACATTACTTGAAATGGACTAGCTATGGGAGCAACTATTCTCCCCATAGGCAAAAATTTTAGAAACTAAAAAATGTTTTTCTTTGCTAAACTGTAGCAAATGAACATTTCACATTTTTCAGCCTCCCACGCCCTGCCAAAGTTATTGAAAATAATAACAGTAGGGGCTAGAGAAATGGCTCAGCAGTTAAGAGCACTGGCTGCTTGTGCAGAGGACCTGGGTTCAGTTCCCTGCACTCACATGGCAGCTAACAACTGTCCATAACTCCACTTTCAGGTCCTCTGACAGGGATGCAGTTGCATACATGCACACAATATAATCATACACATAAAAGAAATATTTTTTATTTTACTTTATTTTTTTTCATTTTGAGACAGGGTCTCCCTGTAGCCCCAGATGCCCTGGAACTTACTACATAGAACAGGCTGGCTTTGAACTCAAAGAGATCTGCCTGCCTCTGCCTCCTGAGTGCTGAGATTAAAGGTGTACATACACCACCATGCCTGGCATAAATAAAATATTTTTGAGAAAATAAAAGCAGCAACTCCAGTCAGCTAATAGGCACAATTCCGGTGCTTTTACATGCAGTATTTAAGGCTTTCAACAACCTACTGAGAGGCATCCTTGGTTTTTAGATGAGAAAACGGGAAATGTTAAAGCCCTTTCTAATGATTTCAGTACTAATTACTAATAAAACTGAATGCTGTATCAAAAACATAAAGCTCTGATATACCACAGTTACAAGACTATATCTTACCATCGTGACTCACACCTGAGGCAGAAAATCAACAGGAACTCAAGGCCAGCCTGGGTTACATAGTGAGATCCTGTCCCTGAAACTGTAACTAGGTGGGCATGCCTGGCCTACTAGATGGGCATGGTGAAATGCTAGATGAATCAGAGTATTTGATGCCAAGCCTGATGAATAGAGTTTGATTCCCGCAATACACATTGTTAGAAGAACAGAATTGACTCCCAAAGTTGACCTCTACATGCAAGCTATGGCATACCCACATATACAAAATTATGAATACACACATGCAAAGAAAATTAATTTTAAAAAAAGTGGGGGGGCTGGAGAGATGGCTCAGCAGTTAAGAGCACTGGCTGGCTACCTTTGCAACAGACCCGGGTTCGGTTCCCAGCATCCACATGGCAGCTAACAATTGTCAATAACTCCAGTTCCAGGGCACTCAATGCCCTCTTCTCACTTCCAAGGGCACAGATCACATATGGTACACTCACATACATGCAAGCAAAACACTCATACAGACAAAATAAAATATACATAAAAAAAGAATCAAACAATATAAACAGAGAAGTTATGGGATCTAAGAAGAACAAAACTTAAAGAATTCCTTGAATTCCTCTATGGTGGACTTAGTGAAATAAGAATCACAAACATTATCATTCAGTGGATATAACATTCTAAAATGATGAATGCCTACTTCTTAAAGCTCTAGCTGAAGATAAAACTATCAAATATAGGAAAGATTCTTTTTCACAAGCAAAAAGACAACGAGACTCTAGAAAGACAGACACATCCACATACCCACAGACAGGTGTCTGTAGTCACAGTTATTAGGGAAGCTAACACAAAAGGTTCATCTGAGCCCAGAAGTTTAAGCCAGCCTAGAAAATGTATAAAACTGCATAACAAAAAACAGGCTAAAACAAAATAAACTAAGTATTATTCCTTAGTTAACAGCTTACCTCACATTCTGAGTAGGATTCCACCTTTCAGAGGGCAGTTCTCCACTCTGTGGGTCATCTACAGGCGGATGAAGAATTGAAATGCATACATCTCCATTCTACAAGACAACAATATCACACTCAGTAACTAAAAACTGATACATAAGCAAGGTATGGTGACACATATCTGTAATCTTAGCACTCAGGAGGATGAGGCAGGAAGATAAAGCATGTTAGCCTAGGCTACATACAGTGAGACTTGTCTTAAAAAACAAATACAGCTGGGCGTGGTGGTGCAGACCTTTAAAAATCCCAGCACTTGGGAGGCAGAGGCAGGCTGATCTTTGAGTTCCAGGCTAGTCTGGTCTACATAGAGAGTTCCAGGCCAGGGAGATTCTGTCTCAAAAAGATCCCCTGTCCCTCCAAAAAACTGTGATGAATAAGGCACATCATTTTTGTTAAAAATTTCTTTGTTCACTAGAATTTTGTCTTCTTTTTATTATGGGAAAGACAATTCATGTTCAAATTCAAAGTTGAAAAAGAATTAAATGCTATAAAAATTCATTTGGGTGAGGTGTGGCAGCATATGCCTAGAATCCCAGCACTCAGGTGGCAGAGGGAGTATCTCCAACTTTGAGACCTGATCTACACATCAAGTTCCTAGGCCAGTCAGGGTTACACAGTGAGATCCTTTCTCAAACAATACAAAAAGCTATCATTTGGATCAATAAATAAAAAATATTTTTTTAAAAAATGTGCACCACCGCGCCCAGCTTAAATACATTTTTTTAAATGATTGGGTTTATTTATTTTTCTATTTTATGTGTATGCGTGTATTGCCTGTACTGGATCCCCTGGGACTGGAGTTATGGACAGTTGTTAGTTGCCACGTGGGTGCTGGGATTCAAACCTGGGTCTTCTGCAAGAACAACCAGTGTTCTTAATCACTGAGCCATCTCTCCAGGCCCCTAAATGACTGTTTTTTTGTTTTTGTTTTTGTTTTTAAAAAAAGGAAATTACCCAGGTGTGTGTTGGCGTGTGCCTTTAATCCTAGCCCTCCGGAGGTAGAGGCAGGTGGATCTCTTCCAGATCAAGGCCACCCTGGTTCACATTGTGACTTCCAGGTGGGCTGTGACAAGAAAGACCCTGTCAAAAAACAATTAACAACAACAAAATAAAACAAAAAAAACCCACTGGGGCTGGAGAGATGGCTCAGTGGTTAAGAGCACTGGCTGCTCTTGCAAAAAACCTGGGTTCAGTTTCTAGCACCCATAGTAGCTAAGTCTATTACCTCCAGTTCCAGGGGATCCGATGCCCTCTTCTGGTCCCCGAGGGAAGCAGACAAAGGCATTTGGGCATGCGTGCGTGCATAGCAAAACGCTTACACATAAAATGTAAAAAAAAAAATTTTTAGTTGGGGGGAAGGATGGGGGGGACAGGACATGGATGAGACAGCTCAGCAGGTAAATTGCTGTGGTTCCTAACGACCTGAGTTTGATCGGCAGAACCAACACTGTAAAGGAGAAAATTGATTCCTGAAAATTATCCTCTGGCCTCATGCACACACAAATAAATGTTTAAAAAAAACTTTAAAAAAGAAAAGAAAAAGCCAGGTGTGGTGGCATATGTCTTTGGTCCCAACACTTGGGAGATCAAAGCCAGCCTGGTCTACATGGTGAGTTCCAGGCATGCTGGGGCTACAAGGAGACCCAGTCTCAAAAAGACCAAAAACTATTTATATAAATATAAATATATATATATATTTGTAATATTTATACACACACACACAGAGACAGACAGACAGACAGACTACAGAGATGGCTCTTGCAGAAGACTCAAGCTTGGTTCCCAGCACCTACATCAGGTGGCTCACAACCACTTGTAACTCCAGCTCCAAAGGGAATTGGACAGTCTCTGGCCTCTATACACATGTGTACATACACAAACACACACACATAAAAATTAAAAAGCGAATTGCTGGGCGTGGTGGCGCACGCCTTTAATCCCAGCTCTTGGGAGGCAGAGGCAGGTGGATCTTTGTGTGTTCGAGGACAGCCTGTTCTACATACTGAGTTCCAGGACAGCTAGGGCTACATGGAGACCCTGTCTCAAAAAGACAGAAAAAATAAAAAGTAAAAAATAAAAAGCAAATAATTTTTTAAAAGAAAGAATAAATACTAGCACCATAAATCTGGGTCACAAGCCTGTGGCTGTTGAGAAGGTTCACAAGCCCAAGTAAGGAAGTTATTGCTATTGCTTTGTTAAATGGACATGAGATTCATGTCAAATCACCTTCTAAATAACTATGTTTATGCCCATAAATCAGTGCTGCTGTCAAATTTGATCAGAAAAGCTTTTTGTTTTGGTCTTTTTGAGACAGGGTCTCCCTGTAGCCCCAGCTGGCCTGGAACTCACTATGCAGACCAGGCTGGCCTTGAAATCACAGAGATCCTGCCTCTGCCTCCCATGAAAAGCTCCTTTTCAAATCATGCAAGTGTTACTGACAGAGGCTCATAATGCTGTCACCAACAGGATACCTAAGCCAGACACAGTGGTGCACACCTTTAATCCCAGCATTTGAGAAGCAGAGGGAAACAGAGGCAGGCAGATCTCTGTGAGATGAAGGACAGCCTTGTCTATATAGTTACAAGGCCAGCTGGGGTACAGGAAAAACCCATCTCAAAATGCTCTTGCAGAGGACCCAGGTTTGGTTCTCAGTACCAACATGTTGGTTAACAACTGTCCATAATTCCAGGTTCAAGGGACTGATGCCCTCTTCTGGCTTGCATGGGCACTGTACAACACAGGTGTACTTACACACAAGCAAAACACTCATACACATAAAAATAAATACATTTAAGCTGGGCGTGGTGGCACACGCCTTTAATCCCAGCACTTGGGAGGCAGAGGCAGGCGGATCTTTTTGAGTTCAAGGCCAGCCTGGTCTACACAGTGAGTTCCAGGACAGCTCCGGCTACAGGGAGACCCTGTCTCAAAAAAAAACAAATAAATTTAAAAAAACAAACAAGGAGCTGGAGAGATGGCTCAGCGGTTAAGAGCACTGACTGGGTTCTTGCAGAGGACCCAGGTTGGATTCCCAGCACCTACATGGTGGCTAACAACCATCCTCCAGTTCCGGAAGAATCCGACGCCTTCTGACCTCAGTGGACATTGCACAACACAGGTGCACTTAAACACATGCAGGCAATACACTCATACACATAAAATAAAAATATTTTAAAAAAGCAAAACAAAACCCAAACAGGATATCTACATCACCACCTCCAAGACGCAGGGGAGCATCAGAAGAAGGAGCAGTAAAAATGTGAGAGACTAGGGGAGAATGTATGGAATGCTGATTTCTGGATATGACATGGCCAGTGCATTTTCAAACCCATAGCACATACAATGACCTCCAAACAATCTTCACAGGATTGCCTGTCAACATCCTGTTCATGGAAAGAGAGGAAGTTCACAAAACTCCATGCCTCCTTGAGGATTTTATAGTTTATGGTTGCTGGGTGTCCTGGTTTGTTTCTCCACTGCTGTGACAAAACACTTTGACCAATACCAACTTGGGGAGGAAAGGGTTTATTTTACATCTCCTGGGTCACAGTTCATCAGGGAGCCCAAGGTAGGAACCCAGGGCAGGAACCTGGAGGCAGGAGCTGAAGCACAGGCCATGGAAGAACACTGCTTACTGGCTTGCTCCCCTGGCCTAGGGGCCCAGGGCGTGGCACCACCCACAGTGGGCTGGGCCCTCCCACATCATTCAATGATCAAAAAGATGCCCCACAGACATGGCCACAGGCCAGTCCAATTCCCCAAATGAAGGCCAATTCCCCGAATTGAGGCTCCCTCAACCCAGGTGTGTCTAGTTAACAGTAAAGCTATCTTGCACACTGGGGATGAAAGAGATTTTCTTCAATGGTAAAGCCTCTGGTAAGGTGCCCATGCTCCTGCAAACAACCGGAATGAAAGTCAACGTGGCATCAAAGAAAGAGAGAGAGATGAAAGTAGACAGGAGACCATTTGGGAAGAGGAAAAGAGTAAATGGATGGGAAATGGGACCAGAGAGGGTAACAGGTATGATCAAAATTATATACATGAAAACGTATAATAAATCCCTTATGTACAGTTAATGTATACTAATTTAAAAAAAAAATTTTTAAAGCCAGGTACGGTGATGTATGACTTTAATCCCAGCCCTTGGGAGGCAGAGGCAGGAGGATCTCTGTGAGTTCAAGACCTGGTCTACATAGTGAGTGCCAGGCCAGCTGGGGCTACAGGGAGACCCTGTCTCAAAAAGACCAAAAAAAAAAATAATAAATAAGATGAAGAAGAAATGCACTAACTGATAAATGGAAACATGAACTTAGAGTTCTCAAAAGAATTAAGGAACCAATAACAGTCAAAAAATACATGAAAAAAAAATGTGTAGCACAACTATCCATGAGAAAAATGCTACTCAAAACTACATTGGGATTCTCACTTCAGTCAGAATGGCTATCAAGAAACTCAAACAGGGGCTGGAGAGATGGCTCAGTGGTTAAGAACACTGATCGTTCTTGCAGAAGACCCAGGTTCAAATCCCAGCACCCACAAGGCAGCTAACAACTGTCCATAACTCCGGTTCCAGGGGATCTGACAGCCTCTTCTGTCTTCTGCTGGCACTGCATGACATGGGTGCATTTACCTACATGCAGGCAACACACTCATACACATAAAATAAAAATAATAAATATGGCCAGGTGTGGTGGCGCACGCTTTTATCCCAGCACTCGGGAGGCAGAGGCAGGCAGATCTCTGTAAGACTGAGGCCAGCCTGTTCTCTATAGAAAATCCAGGCCAGCAGGGGCTACAGGGAGACCCTGTCTCAAAAAGACCAAAAAAATTTAAAAAAGAAATAGGAGGCTGGAGAGAAGGCCCAGCAGTTAAGAGCACTGACTGCTCTTGCACAGGACATAGGTTCTTTTCCCAACAGCCACAAGGCAGCTACAAACCATCCTTAACTCCAGTTCCAGGGGAATCCAAAGCCCTCTTCTGACTTCCGAGGCACTGCACGACACTGGTGCACTCACATACACGCAAGCAATACATTCATACACATAAAATAAAA